ACTAGCTAGTATTAGAATTCTAAAAGTGGCTAGATACAAAACTAACACTCAGAAATTAACAGCATTCCCACATTCAAACAAGATAAAAGATATAATAAAACTATAAACTCCATTTACAATAGCAACAAAAAAGATAAAATACCAAGGGCTAAACATAAGAAATGTGAAAGGTCTTAATGAAAAAATTTTTAAATGTCATTGAGAGATGCAAAAGAAGACTTGAACAAGAAATGAATATATTCCCTGCTCTTGCAACAGAAGAATGAACCGCAAAAAGACATCAAATATCTCTAAATCAATCTATAATGTTCTATCAATAAAAATATCAACAGCATGGGGGAGAGGAGCTATACAAGCAAGACTATCCAGGAAAACCCTGGCAAGTAGAGTAAGAGCAGACTATAATCAAAGAATGGGGTCATTAAGGTATAAATAGGTGAACTGATCAATGAAACAGGATAAAAGCCCAGTAAGAACCTCAAATTATATGTAGGAATCAAGTACACCTATAGACAGTATTTTAATACTGCAATAACTTGTAGCCACCTAGAAAAAAGTCAGATTCTTACCTTAACACTTTACATAATTTATATTTTATATAGATAAGTACATTTAACTTAAAGTAAAATTATAAAAGTACCTAGAAAAAACAAGAATTTTCATTTTAATCAGAAATAATAGTTAAATAGGAAAGGCCTTTCTTATGACGCAAAATCTAAAATCCAAAAAAGAATGATAATTACAACTACAAAAGAATTTTAATTTCTGCTGAAAAACTGTACCATAAACAAGGTCAAAAGCCAAATGATGAGCTATGAAAAATACCTTCAACACATAGCAAAGACAACTAATTTCCTTAAAACACAGAGTTCCTATAAACAATATTAAACATCTTGACAGAAAATGAACAAAAAATATAACCAGATGAATAAAAACTATAAGCAGATGTTATAAATAAAGTTAACAAATATGGTTCTTATACCTATTGAAAAGATGAAGAAAAATACACCTATTAAATTGGCAATTTTAGAAAGTTTGATAACCCACTCTATTATCAAGGGTCTGGGATGCAAGCACTCCAACACCAACAGTGAAACATAAACTGGTACAATCTTTATGGAAGGCAATTTCACAATATCTATGAAAATCTAAATAGTACATATCCTTTGACCCAGCAATCGCACTTCTAGGAATTTATTCTAAAGACAGACTCACTCATGTGCAAAAATATATAGACAGATATTCATCATATCATCATTTATATCAGCAAGACTGTAAACATTTTAAATGCCCATCCAAACAAAGAAATGCTACCATTTCTTTCCACGTGCACGTGCACACACACACACACACACACGCACATGCACTCAAAATTTATCATTGCTTGCTTCTAGGGAAAGAAGCCAATTAGCTGGGGTCAAAGGTAGAAGGAAAACTTGCCTTTTATCATATGCTCTTTTGCACCATTTGGATTTTATATCAGCAACATATATCACATTTCACATTTTTAAGTTATCAGTACTGTTTTTGCCCAGCTTTACCAGTTGTTACATATTTCCTTCTCCTTGTCAGTTTTTCAGTTCTTTCATTAGCAGCAATGTCTAACTGTCATCGCAGGTAATACATTTAATCAAACTGACACCGTGAAATCACAATAGTAACTTGTACTCTATCATCTCCATGATCTGGGTGCCCCTGAGCTCTACCTCTGCATACCTATTCTACAAAAATGTTCCCTGTTCTTTCTTTACTATGTGTATAGAGATTATGAATTAGAAATCCAGGACCAACAAGCTATGAATGTCTTGGCCTATGGGACAAACACAAAATCACGACTGCATTTTAGGAGACAGCAAAAAGGCAAGAAGCTGCTCAAACAAGGTTTCACAAAATTATCATTTGTGCTGTCACCATGAATGCAGAGTGTGGTCTACTTTTAAGTGTAAGAACTTGATTTTATCCATTTGTCCAGAGTCAATGGGGCTGTAGAGGATTGAACCACACTAATCAATCAAATTCACAAGAAACTAATTGCTTACATAGAATGCCAATGCATCCATCTAGAATTTAAGTACATGTACATATGTACAGACGTATATACACAATTAGTGTGTGTGCATATACGAAGAGTGTCAAATCATGCAAATCAAGGAATCACCCATAAATGATAAGTATGCCCAAGGAGAACCACATGGCACTATAAGTGTGTATAGAGAGAAGAGAATAAATCAGAAGGTCAAAGAAGGCATCCCTGAAAACACAGTGTGATCGAGTTAAGTTCTAATGGAAGAGAAGCTAAAAAACAAAAACAAAAAACCCTAAAAGCCAAAAAACAGAAGTGGAGTTAGAGAGTTCTTGCATGATGGGGTAGCATGTGAAATGGCCTCGTGGCAGAAAGAGCATGATATGTCAAAGGTAGCAGAAAACAATCTAAGAGCAAGACCGTATGACGTAAAATTAACTCAAGAGTTACACAATGCAGTGCCTTTTAGGTCATGTTAAGGATTTTTGCCTTACACTAAAAGCAATGAAAAGCTAGTGAAGGGTTGTAAGCAGGGATGAGAATAGATTTGCGCTTGCAAAAGATGAGTGTGCTATAGGTATTGCAGGGCGAGAGGAGAAGCAGGAAGACTGCTTAGAAAACTGCAGGAGACCTAAGTGAGGGATGATGGCAGCATGAGCTGGAGTTATAGAGCAGAAATAAAATAAATGGAACTTGGTGATTAATTATACCTGAAATACAAGGGAGAAGAAAATTTAAGGAGGATGCCCAAGTTTCAGGTTGCGTAACTGCGTGGATAAAGATGCTACCACTGAAGGAGAGAGCAAGAACACTCCAGGAAGACCAGAGTGTTTTGTTTTGTTTCATCAGGGACTAGATGGAGGGTCTGCGTGCAAAAAGTAAGAAAGGGTTCTGGGTGCTTAGTATCTGGCAGTCTTGGTAGAGCCGGACAAAAAATGGAAAATGGGATTAGATGTCAATGGAGAGAGAAAGTTAGCTACAAAAACTTTAAAAAAAAAAGAATCCTTTTTTAACCTCCAGGGTCAGCCATAAAACAGGCCTAGATATTTCTATGCCTCACCAGCACCTAAAATCTTAAACACCTCAATATACAACCTTTCAATGAGTGTGGGGGGAGGGGACAGCCAAAATGCAATGTTGGGGAAAATAACTAATTGGTGTAAAAGAATTTGAAATATATTGAGATGGCAGATGTTCCCAATTCTGATAGTAAAGAAATGACAGAAGCTGCCTACTTGGGGAAGGAAGAATGAAGCACCAATCAAAAGGAAAAGGAAGAGAGAAGAGGCTGATCATCCCATTGCATGAATTCTCACAGTTTAAATTTTTCACATTTTATCTTTCCCTCTGGACAAATGGCTGTTCTTGGCCTTGTGTGCTAAGGAAACGCAGAAATAGCTCCACACCTAAGCCCCACATCAGAAAGCATGGCTTCCACTGCCATCTGGTGGTGGCAGCGAGGAAGTGCACCAACTAGGTTCTTGGAGCCTGGGAATGCCTATATGAAGTCCACGGTATAATTAATCTGAGATCAAAGACCTAAAGATCGCAGTGGTAGAGGGAAAACCGGTAATAGTCTTTGGTAAGAGATTTATCTTCTAATCTGTCAATACACAAAAATAGAAGTTTTTGCTGTTAATTTGAGGTAGGTAAAAGGATTTCTCCTTTTTTCTTTTTCATGTTAAAGATCACATATATAGCAGTTCTAGAATACCCAGTCTGATACTATCACCTCAAACTCAACTCCTAGTATATTATATATTTGACTATTTACAACTGCTTCAATGTTAATTTTAATGGCACATATAAATGGTTAATGTGCATTTCTAACACACATCAATAACCTCATCACCAGCAAGCAACTGTCTCATTGAACGTGCAAAATTCCCTTTGTTGTCTACAAATTAATCAAATAATTTTTGACTACTTAGAACCACAGGCATGGTACTAAAATGAATTCAAAAACCATCATGTTCTCAAAACTCACCGGCTAAGCAAATATATCACTGATAAAATCAACATTATTCACAAACAATATGGTGAATGATTAACACATCATTCCTGATCGTTCTCTCCAAGGTAAAAAAATACGCTTGCCCAATATAATATTTGACATTCTGTGCAATATTTACTTCCCTACCTTCCCTCTACTACACTTCACTTACAAATGTACCTCTTTAAAATTGTCTGCACACACACATCGATCTGATTTGTTTTTTAAAGCATCTGAACTCCAGGATAGGAAATTGTAGGCCAAAACGTAAAATAATCACATTGGATACATTTTTCCAATTCTCAATCAGCTGCTTTTATCATAATTTTGTCACCAAGTATATTCTTGATCTTCACTTTTCTCCCCTTAAAATCTAGACCACGTTATCGATTCTGTCTCTGGACATTGCAAAATATTAATAATTTAACTAGTTTTTCCTAATTCTCTTGGTTCTGTTCCCCATCCACATCCCAACACCCTCTACCCCCCTCCCCGCGCCTTTCCTCCTCCTTTCTAGTCTCAGAATGCCTAACTCTTAAACACTCGAGGTGGTTTTTACAAAAACACTCTTTGGAATGTTCTTCCCTCTTCTCTCAACTTAGCACCCTTTAAAAAATAATGTCCCACAGCTAGGCGCCAATATCCTCCTTCTACAGGATCAAACTGCGGAAGAGGATGAGACTGGGAACAGAGTAACCGAAACATTTGGGAATGTCAATGAAACATCGGCCTCTCCTTTGAAAAGAAAACACAACTCTCAGCACAGAGCTTTCAACAAAGCAAAAATGCTTCTTTTCGTTGTGTTCCTGCTCCGTCCCTGACCTCAAAGACACCTTTCCTTTTCTCTAAGCCCCAGTTCCTCTGCTATGCGTGGGGCCTGCCTTTGCTCCTCCCAAGGAAAAGAAAGCCAGAGAGAAAAAGAAAAGGTAGCAGTCGCCTTCCCTTCGCGCCCGCAAGCTGGCAGGACCCTGTCCCACGACTCACCTGGCAGGTGCGGCCGCCCGGAGAGTTGCACGAATCTGTTGAGCTGGCCAGTCCCCCGACCCCCGCTGCCCCCACTGCCCCCGCCGGCCCCGCTACCTCCGCCGCCGCCGCCACTGCCTGCGGCACCTCCTCCCCGCCGGCGGTTCCTGTCCCAGCCCTGGGCGGCCGACATGACCCGCTAACGATTGCGGCAGCCGGGTCCCGGCAGCCCCTGGCCCGGCGGCACTAGCGGAGCCTCCTTGCTGGGCTCCTCAAGAGACCCGGGAGACTGGGGTAGGGGGAGCGCCCTGTCCTCACCAGCGACCAATGACTGGCTTACTTGGTGACAGGCAGCCAATGGCCAGTCGCCTTCTTGGCAGGTGGAGGGAGGCGGGGAGAGACGTGGTAACCATAGCTATGGCTAAAAAAAAAAAAAAAAAAAAAAGTGGAGAGAGAGAGAAAGGCAGAAGCAGCCACTCAACACACGCATCAACCGCGCTAAGCAAGCCCGCGTCGCGAGTCCTGCGGGATCAGGAGGGCCAATCGAAGGCCGAGCAAGAGAGGCCACGCCTGCAGAAAGAGTCCCGGCGATAGTCGGTCCTCCAGCCGCGGTTAGGGTTCAGGAACTCTTCCTATAAGTACTCAAATCAGGACTAGGCTGTGAACATAATACACATGTTTGGGGGCAATACAGTGTTTCGCCGGCTGTGCAGACTGAGACCCCTTTCCCTGTTAACACACACAAAGGGCTCTGTTGGAGGAGGAAAAAAACAGAGGCGGAGTCATAGCTTAAATATAAAAGTGAGGTAGTCTGGGTTTCATTTGTCTTGTCTTTGAGTAGCTAAGCTCCTCAATTAAACACCAGCCACCTACCAAGCAAGCAATTTTAAACTTGGTTAATAAACATAAAGAAGTGTTGAAGCTAACCAGTAATCCTGGAAATACAAATTAAGACTCCAATGAGAAACCATTTTTGGCTTATTAGGTTAGTAAAGATTTTAAAAATAACACCTATCAGTAAGAAGAGTACCAGGAAAAAGGTAATTTCATGGATGACTGATGGCTATGAAAATGTTTTTGTCCAATCAAACCCTTTTTTTTTAGTAGAAAATCTGAATCACCTGAAAGAAACACAGAAATAGGTACGGAAGATGAAGATTGAGGAAAACTGCAGATGTACAGTTCAGAAATTCTTATTAAATAATTGTCAAATTATTACTGTCAAACTATTGTTCCAAAATTAAACAGAAAACTTGGCTATGAACTTACGGGGGGGGGGGCAGTGCAAAGTGGGAAAATACAGATTATTAAAGATGTTTATGAATGATAAGGGAAAAGCATATATACTCTTCAGAGAAAACAACTTTTCATCTTAGGTATGGTGGCTTTTCTTTTTTTTCCGTAAACCTTTACATAGGAGAACCTTATGTGATGCAAGGAAAAAAGAGAAAATCTGCTGTAGCTGAGGCTGCATACATATGCTTTTGGTCAAATCTCATGTCACCAGTGGTCCTGCCTCCTTATTTTCCTACTTTTAGTCCCTCAAGGCAGGTGTTTTACCTTGTAAGCACTATAAGGCACTGCTTATGAAAATGTTTGAGACTTGAAAAAAAAAGTTTATGGCTCTAAAATATGAAAGTCAAAATTAATAAATGTTAATTTTTCTAAAGAAATTGTAACATTGAGTAAACCAAATAGTAGATGAAGGAAATTTTCTTTTTATAGGAGTATTCCCTAAATAAAGAACAATACAATATCACCATTTTTCAACCCTTAATACACTCAGAGATCAACCTATTGAATATTACCTACTGCTAGCATCACAAAATTAAAGATGAGATATATACGCCTCTAGAACATAAACATAAGTATGAAATAGTCTTGTAGAAAAATTGAACTTGAATCTCATCAGATATCTATATCAATTTATAGGAAATACCGAGGATAGAGGAATATAAAAAAAAAATACTACAGAGACACAAACAGCAAAATCCAGACTATGGAAATTCTATGGAATAATCAAATTTCTCAACAAATAAATTACAAAGGAAAATGAGAGATTTGGAAGGAAAAATCTATATGATAAGAGACCAGTGATAGTGGTATAATTGTGAATATACTAAGAATCACTGAATAGTAATGGTTGCACAACTTTGTTATTATATTAAAAACCACTGCATTGTGCACTTGAAAGGGTAAATTTTATGGTGGATTTTATGTGGATTATATCTGAATTAAAAATTTTAAATAATATGGGAAGGGAGGAATGGATGTGGAGCTAGATGAAACATAGTAACCATAAGCTGAAGCTGGGTGGTGAAGAAGGACATAAGAACTGTTCATTATACTGTTGTGCCTACCTTTGTATATGTTAGAAATTCTTCATAATAAAAAGGAAAAAAAAAAGGTCTACAAAAATAAGATTATATTAACGAATCAACTGAAAACTATCTCACGTAGTTATTATATATTATGTAGTATATATAATACACATATAATTTGTATGTAATATATATGATAATCAGTTTTAATTCCAGAAACAAAATGAAACTTTTGTTCTTAACTAAATTTAAAATATTAAATTATTTTTTTTTAATGCTTATTTATTTTTGAGAGAGAGAGCACATGGGGGAGGGCCAGAAAGAGAGGAAGACAGAGGATCCGAAGTGGGCCCTGTGCCAACAACAGAGGGCCCAATATGGGGCTCAAACTCTCACACCCTGAGATGGTGACCTGAGCCAAAGTCGGACATTCAACCAACTGAGCCACCCACGTGCCCCAAAATTATTAAATTATTTTGAAAACCTTCTAAAAATTAGGTTGCCATCAAAACTTTTTAATGTGGAATATAGGTACACTTTGATGGGCATTGACATGATTTGGACAGGGGCCTTCAAAGTAAGTGCACACAGAGGCACATGGCTGGCTCAGTCAGTACTCATGCGACTCTCGATCTTTGGGCCATGAGTTTGAACCTCATGTTAAATGTAGAGATTACTTAAAAAGTTAATAAAGTAAGTGCATGCAGACAATATGTACCTGCTAACATAACATAATATGAAGTACATGATACCACCTACAAAGTCATCATATCAAAAATATTCACTTGAATCTATTCAAGATTTAACCTCTAACATCCAGTTTACAGAAACTTTCAGGGTACAAAGGAACAAGTGAAATAACATGTGAAACAACTAAATCCAAGGAGACAATCTTCACTATATCTAGCCTGGTTTCGTCAATAAGTCAATGTAATGAAAAACAAAATGAAAGAACACAAAAACAAAATGGGAAGGTGGTGACCCCTAACGGAATAATAGAGGTAGGCAATGACAATCAATGGCTGCTAGCATAACAAAAAGGAACAAGCAGACATTACGTGTGTGCTAACGAAAGTATAATCGTTGGTGGTGTACTATTCTTTTTTAAAAAAAATTTTTTAACGTTTATTTATTATTGAGAGAGAGCATGAGCATGAGCACTGGAGGGACAGAGAGAGGGGGAGACACAGAATCCGAAGCAGGCTCCAGGCTCTGAGCTGTCAGCACAGAGCCTGACGTGAGGCATGAACCCATGAGCCATGAGGTCATGGCCTGAGCTCAAGTCGGATGCTCAACCGACTGAGCCACCCAGTGGCCCCTATGATGAACTATTCTTGCCAAAAAACTGAATCTGAATAAAGCCAAACGTGTAACTCTATCCGTTTACAGGATATAAAAAACAGTACATGTGAAAGTACATGGAAAAGTATGTTTTATATAAATGTAAGGTCATATTCTCATGTTAGCAATCAATCAATGTATAGCAATCCTTTAAAAACGTTTACTGGGGCGCCTGGGTGGCTTAGTCGGTTAAGCGTCTGACTTCGGCTCAGGTCATGATTTCGTGGTCCTTGAGTTCGAGCCCCATGTCGGGCTCTGTGCTGACAGCTCAGAGCCTGGAGCCTGTTTCAGATTCTGTGTCTCCCTCTCTCTCTGACTGTCCCCTGTTCATGCTCTGTCTCTCCCTGTCTCAAAAATAAACGTTAAAAAAAAAAAAAAGTTTACTTCTTGGATTGTTGGTTAGTTTGTCATAGATTAAACATGACCCAGAATCCTATAAATTCCTTGGTGAATAGTCAAAGGTGACTAACTGCTTGTCATCAGCCCAGATCAAATCAGCATTGATACTGAGAAGCCCAAACTAATGAGTCTGTAGTTTACTTAATTACAAAAATTATAACCATCTACTCATAAACATTACACACATAAGCATCACACATACAGATGTCGTGAAAACGCAAAGTATAAATTGTAGCTAAGGTTAGGTCTGGCTGCCCAGAGAAAAGAAGGAAGAAGGCTCACATTTATTGATCACCTGTTGTGAAGTAGGCACTTTTATATATATTATGTTTTTTAATAGGCAGATTACCTACCATAGCATTTTTGAAACATTAAGTCATGAAATCAATTCAATGGAACATGACCAGTATTTCCTAAAAAGAAGAATGAAACTGTAAGAGTGCAAGAAAAAAAAGGGGTGGGGGCACAAAGTGGTTCAGGAAGGTCTTGAAACACCTTGCGTCTAGGTATTCAAGTTGGAAGGGCCTCCTCTGAAGGGTTATAGAAACCTTAAGCTCCCCTCTCACAATGTTTAGGCAGGCATTTGATCAACAAAAGGGTAAGCAACCAATGTGTTTACCAAAGTTTTAGGTTCCCAGAAGCCCAGTAACTTCAGCCCTGTCTAAAAAACTTATATGGAAATTTTGAATGCAACTATTTCCCTTATCCCACCCCCACTTAAAACACACACACACACACACACACACACACACACACACACACACACACACACACACAAATATCCCACTGTTTCAAAGCTTCCATGTTTCTTTGTGTAGCTTTAAACATAAAAGCCTGAGTTTGCCTTTGATATGTGGAAAAAAGACCTTGGACTTTGCAAAGGTAAAACCAAGATTTCATTTTGGATAGGGAAGGTATTAAACAGTTCTGCTTAAGATGACACCGGAAAGACAAATCTCATTAAGGAGCTTAGGCTGAATCCTAATGGAGTGAGGAGTCATTGAAGTCTTTAAGAAAAGAGGTGACATGATCAGATTAGTTTTCAAAGATCACTCCAGAGAACTGAGTTGAGGATTTATATGGGAGGCTGTCCATTGCTGTGGGTGAACCTGCCTATAGGCAGCACCCTCAG